GTGGGATTTGGGGTGCAAGGAGGGGATTTGGGGTGCAGACCTGGGTGGGGATGTGGGATTTGGGGTGCAGGAGGGGATTTGGGGTGCAGACCTGGGTGGGGATGTGGGATTTCGGGTTCAGGGGGAGATATGGGGTGCAGACTTGGGTGGGGATGTGGGATTTGGGGTGCAGGAGGAGATTTGGGGTGCAGACCTGGGTGAGGATGTAGGATTTGGGGTGTAAGGAGGAGATTTGGGGTGCAGACCTGGGTACAGATGGGGGATTTGGGGTGCAAACCTGGAGTTTGGGGTGCAAGAGGAGATCTGGGGTGCAGACCTAGGGTTCAGGGTGAGATTTGGGGTGCAGATGCGGAATTTGGGGTGCGTGGGGAGATTTGGGTTGCAGACCTGGATGCAGGGGGAGATTTAGGGTGCAGAGGTGGGAAATTTAGGGTGCCCAGCTGGGACTTGGGGTGCAGGGGAGGTGTGGGGCTCAGGCCTGGGTGCAGACGTGGAATTTGGGGTGCAGGAGGATGTGGGATTTGGGGTGCAGGAGGGGATTTGGGGTGCAGACCTGGGTGGGGATGTGGGATTTGGGGTGCAAGGAGGAGATTTGGGGTGCAGACCTGGGTGCAGATGTGGGATTTGGGGTGCAAACCTGGAGTTCGAGGTGCAAACCTGGAGTTTGGGGTGCAAGAGGAGATCTGGGGTGCAGACCTGGGGTTCAGGGTGAGATTTGGGGTGCAGATGCGGAATTTGGGGTGCGTGGGGAGATTTGGGTTGCAGACCTGGATGCAGGGGGAGATTTAGGGTGCAGAGGTGGGAAATTTAGGGTGCCCAGCTGGGACTTGGGGTGCAGGGGAGGTGTGGGGCTCTGGCCGGGGTACAGATGTGGAATTTGGGGTGCAGAAGGAGATACGGGGTGGAGACCTGGGCTGCAGGGGAAACCTGGGGTGCAGATCAGGGGCTTGGGATGCAGGGGGGAGATTTGGGCTGCAGGAGAAGATTTGGGGGGCAGAACTGGGACTTGGGGTGCAGGGAGAGGTCTGAGGTGCAGAGTTGGGGTGCAAGAGGAGATTTGGGGTGCAGAGTTGGGGTGCATGAGGAGATTTGGGGTGCAGAACTGGGACTCGGGGTGCAGAAGGAGGTCTGGGGGGCAGAGCTGGGATGCAAGAGGAGATTTGGGGTGCAGAGTTGGGGTGCAGGAGGAGATCTGAGGGGCAGAGTTGGGGTGCAGGAGGAGATCTGAGGGGCAGAGTTGGGGTGCAGGAGGAGATCTGAGGTGCAGAGTTGGGGTGCAGGAGAAGGTCTGGGGTGCAAGAGGAGATTTGGGGTGCAGGAGGAGATCTGAGGTGCAGAGTTGGGGTGCAGGAGGAGGTCTGGGGTGCAGAGCTGGGGTGCAAGAGGAGGTTTGGAGTGCAGGAGAAGATTTGGGGTGCAGAACTGGGACTTGGGGTGCGTGGAGACATCTGAGGTGCAGAGCTGGGGTGCAGGAGGAGATTTGGGGTGCAGGAGGAGATCTGAGGTGCAGAGTTGGGGTGCAGGAGGAGGTCTGGGGTGCAGAGCTGGGGTGCAAGAGGAGGTTTGGAGTGCAGGAGAAGATTTGGGGTGCAGAACTGGGACTTGGGGTGCGTGGAGACATCTGAGGTGCAGAGCTGGGGTGCAGGAAGAGATTTGGGGTGCAGAGTTGGGGGGCAGAAGGAGATTTGAGGTGCAGAGCTGGGACTTGGGGGGCAGGGAGAGGTCTGAGGTGCAGAGCTGGGGTGCAGGAAGAGATTTGGGGTGCAGAGTTGGGGTGCAGAAGGAGATTTGAGGTGCAGAGCTGGGACTTGGGGTGCAGGGAGAGGTCTGAGGTGCAGAGCTGGGGTGCAGGAGGAGATTTGGGGTGCAGGAGGAGATCTGAGGTGCAGAGTTGGGGTGCAGGAGGAGGTCTGGGGTGCAGAGCTGAGGTGCAAGAGGAGGTTTGGGATGCAGGAGGAGGTCTGGGGTGCAAGAGGAGATTTGGGATGCAGGGGGAGGTCTGGGGTGCAGAACTGGGACTCGGGGTGCAGGAGGAGATCTGAGGTGCGGAGTTGGAGTGCAGGAAGAGATTTGGGGTGCAGGTGGAGATTGGGGGTGCAGCCCAGGGAGACCGGAGGGCGGTGTGGGGTGAAGCCTGCGTTTCCACCAGCCGTGGGGCGCCGCATGGCAGGATCTGGCCCTGGCCCAGGTGCGGCCTGCGCAGGGGGAGCCCGCGGGCTGCCAGGCCGGTTCCATTAATTAGCAACTCCAGCTGACGAGTTTCTGCCGCGTCACCACCAAAACGCTCCGCTTCTGCTTTCCTTTTCACTTTTACTGGCAGAAACGGGTAAAAGACACCCCCCCCAAAAAAAAATGACCGGACAAGCCTGGCGTGTGGCTGATGGGCACCCACACCAGGGTGGTGGTGGGATTTGGGGTGCAGGTGGAGATTGGGGGTGCAGCCCAGGGAGACCGGAGGGCGGTGTGGGGTGAAGCCTGCGTTTCCACCAGCCGTGGGGCGCCGCGTGGCAGGATCTGGCCCTGGCCCAGGTGCGGCCTGCGCAGGGGGAGCCCGTGGGCTGCCAGGCCGGTTCCATTAATTAGCAACTCCAGCTGACGAGTTTCTGCCGCGTCACCACCAAAACGTCTGCTTCTGCTTTCCTTTTCGCTTTTACTGGCAGAAACGGGTAAAAGACCCCTCAAAAAAAAATGACCAGACAAGCCTGGCGTGTGGCTGGTGGGCACCCACACCAGGGTGGTGGGAAGGAGCTTGGTGGTCCATAGCGGGGTGCACCCCGGGGTGACCCCCAGTGTAGCCCCCCTCCTAACCCCCCATCCCAACAACTCCCTGCAGGGTTTTGGCCATGACGGAGGTGACGGGGCCGGTGACCAAGCGCATCCTGGTGACGGGGGGCACGGGCTTGGTGGGGAAAGCCATCGAGAAGGTGGTGGCCGATGGAGAGGGGCGGCCAGATGAGAAGTGGATCTTCGTGTCCTCCAGAGATGCCGACTTGACGTGAGTTGACCAAGTAGGGTTTTTTTTTGTCTTGGAAGCCCCCCATGTCTGCTCCCTCGATGCTGCTGAACTCCCAAAATTTCCCATCCCAGGAATGCTGCGGAGACCAAAGCCCTGTTTGAGCAGCACAAGCCCACCCACATCATCCATCTGGCCGCCATGGTGGGGGGCCTCTTCAAAAACATCCGCTACAACCTGGATTTTTGGGTGAGCACCCAGGGAATGGGCGATATCGGGGTCCCTGTGGATGCTGCCACCCCCTGCCCTCCCCAAGCTGTGACATGGGGACGTGGTTTGCTCTGCTCTGAGCGCCAAACCAGGGCTCCTCTGGTTTCTGGAGTTATTACCCTTAGGGTGCAGGGTTTTGGGGGGTGTCCCTACCCCACCCCACTGATCTGAGAAATCTCTCCATCCCCAGAGGAGAAACATCCATATCAACGACAACGTCCTGCACTTGGCCTACGAGACGGGGGTGGAGAAGGTGGTCTCCTGCCTCTCCACCTGCATCTTCCCAGACAAGACGACGTACCCCATCGATGAGAGCATGGTGAGCATCTCCAGCCCCATACACCAGCCAGGAGGAGGTCCCTGCCCTGCTTAACTCTCTGCTCTCTTGTCCCCAGATTCACAATGGGCCACCACATAGCTCCAACTTTGGCTACTCCTACGCCAAGAGGATGATTGACATCCAGAATAGGTGCGATGGGGACATGGGAGAACCCTTGTGAGCACCCTCTGGTTATCAGGGCAAGGGGAATCTTTTAGGGGTCCCAGGGATTAAATAAAGCTGGGGAGATACCTGGGCTCAGCAGATAGAGATGCTGATGGCTGGGGGTCTTCTGGGGACAGCTCTGTGCTGGGGGGGGTAGGTGACAACCCACCTCCCTCTGCTCTTACCCAGGGGCTACTTTGAGCAGCACGGCTGCCGCTTCACCGCCGTCATCCCCACCAACGTCTTCGGGCCCCATGACAACTTCAACATTGAGGATGGCCACGTCCTGCCAGGGCTCATCCACAAGGTCTACCTGGCCAAACGTGAGTGTGACGGGACTTTATAGCTTTTTTGGGGGAGAGGTGGGTTGTTTTCTTTATCCTCCCCCTGATTGTTCCATGAGCTGCTCTGCAGGATAGCTGGGGTGCGTGGAGGTGGCTGATGCTCATGGACATGTTCTTCTTCTTTCTGCAGAGACCGGTTCTGCTCTGACTGTCTGGGGTACGGGGAAGCCCAGGAGACAGTTCATCTATTCCCTGGTATGGGTGGCGTTGGGGAGAACTTGCCTCCCACAGCTTGGGGAGGGCAGGGCAGGGGGCTTGGGGGGCTGGGGCCTGGACCTCAGCAGGGTCCGAGCCCACCTGGGTTGTCCTGGGCAGCATTGGCCATCCTCAGGGTTGGGTCTCCTTGCGATGGGAGGGCTGGGGGACAGCAGCCACCCCCTCAGATGGACCATCTGCCCCTCTGCAGGACCTGGCCCGGCTCTTCCTGTGGGTCCTGCGGGAATACGATGAGGTAGAACCCATCATTTTGTCAGGTAAGCCCCTGCTGACCCCCCTCAACTCCTCCACCAGCCCCTTTTCAAGGAGATGAGGGGGAACAGCCATGATCATGTTGTTCTCCACAGTGGGAGAAGAAGATGAAGTCTCCATCAGGGAGGCAGCAGAGGCAATCGTGGAGGCCATGGACTTCAGGGGAGAGCTTCTTGTATCCTTCACCGCAGGTTGTCCCCCCTCTTTCTCATGGAGCTGCTGCAACATGGGGGACACCCCACTTTCCACCAGCAACTATAGGGCTCTGGGGGAGATGCTGTGGTCCAGAGCATCACTCCTACTGCCCCAGCCAGGTGGTGGGGCACAGCAAGAACATTTTTTTTCTCCCCTTTGGTTTCCCTTAATCCCACCCATCCCAGTTTGACACCACCAAAGCAGATGGGCAGTTCAAGAAGACGGCCAGCAACGCCAAGCTACGGCGCTACCTGCCTGGCTTCCAGTTCACACCCTTCAGGCAAGGTGAGATGGAGGGGGCTCCATGGAACAGAGAGGTCCTATCCACTACTATCAGCCTTGGTGGCATCAGGGTCCACCATCAGCGGTGGCCATCAGTTGTCCATCCTTTCAGGACCTATAGGGGGCTTATAAGAAAGATGGGAACAGAGCTTTTAGCAGGGCCTGTAGTGACAGGACAAGGGGTAATGGCTTTAAAAAGAGGGAATGTTCAGACTAGATCTAAGGAAAAAATTCCTTAGATTCTGGGCCCAGGATGCCCAGAGAAACTGTGGATGCCCCATCCTGGAGGTATTGAAGGCCAGGTTGGACAGGGCCTCTAGTGGGAGGTGTCCCTGCTCCTGGCAGGGGGTTGGACCTAGGTGATCTTTAATATCCCTTTCCAACCCAAACCATTCCATGATTCTATGAAACTACTCTTACGAAGAAACCACGTTCCCAATCCCAAAACCCATCCCATCTTCTCCTTCCCCAGCCGTGAAGGAGACCTGCACCTGGTTCAGCGCCAACTACGCCAACGCCAGGAAGTGACGGGGCCAATGCGGGACCGGCAGCATCCTCTTCATCTCAGGGTTGTCCTCTGCTGGGGCAGAGGACAGGGCTGGGGGAGTGACGGTGAGATTTCCAAAGTAAAAAGGGGGCCATTGATCTGTCCCCACATTCCTGCCTGTTGCTGGGACACCCAGGGCAGGGGAAAGAAGGTTGGGACACCCCAAAGGTGCTGGGACACCAGACCAGGTGGTAGCCACCAACTGGAGCCACCACCCCCTTCCTTGGTCATATGCAAGCAGCTGTAATGGGCTACACTGCTAATTACCTGTAATTAGGCTGTAATAAAGGGAAGGTGATCAGGGTTCCTCCGACACAGGAGTGGCAGCTGGACATCTGCTGTTGCTTTTGGCACATGGGGATGGTCCCAAAGTCCCCAGTGAAGTCCCCAGCAAAGCCCCAGCATCAGGAAGAACCAAAATGGGGAAGGCTCCAGCTGTAAATACGGCATTTATTAAATTATACAAAAATAGCATAAAACTGGTGGGATGAGGAGGTTCTGCCCAGCAGCACGGTCCTCTACCCACGTCCAATGGCACCCTTAGGGCCCTGAGCACCACCATATGTTCTCCACCAAGATCTGGAAGAATCAAATGTAGGGTTTAAAAACCCCTCTGGGAGGAGGTAGAAGGTTAAATATGGGGGGATGAGTCCATGGGCAAGCCACTGCATGAGGCTCGACCAGTGGTGTGGACATGGCAGAAGTCCTGCCCAGAGATGGCTTTCTTCCGGCACCGCTGCCTGGCCCTGGTGAGCCCCTGGCATGGGAGCCGTGGGGACATCGAGGACCTATGGAGGAGAGAGCCCATCAGCACCCCAAGAAGCCTCCAGCAGGGCTGTCCCCTGCACTGCCAGAGCACTGGGTGCACCCTGAGGTGACACCAGCTCCAAGGTGTCCCTGGAGAAGGGATGTCCTCTCTGGTTGGTACTCACACGTCACTGGCCAGAGACTGACTTGGGCTGCAAGGTTTGGGCTCCCAGTGCTTCCCAGTGCCCACGGCTGGCTCCAGCATCACCTGGTTGGGGAAGAATGGGTGTAGACAGGACATCCTCCATCCCTGGTGACCCTGCAGGACATGCCCCTTATCCCACAGGGACGTGTGGATCATACAAGATGACTTCTTTGGCCATCCATCCATCCTTGGAGGACAGCCCATCCACCCAAAAGTCCTCCTTGGGTGCCATGTCCCCAACAAGCCCTGAGAGACCAGCCCTGGCCACGTTCCCAACAGGGCGTCCAGCACCCAGAAGTGCAGTCATGGTGAGGACAGCCCAACCCTAGAGACTCTGACCCTCAGACGAGGACCTAGATGCCCCCAGGAGCAGGGTCTGGCCCAACCCAGGGACATCCCACCAGCACCTACCTAAGTTCAGGCTTACCCGACATGAGCTCAGCTTTGTCCTCCAGCTGCTGGGGACAGGTGACATCCCCCCTCCTAAGCGAGGGGTGTCCCCTGCCATCACTGGGGGCTGCTCCAGGCACAAGGGATCTGCAGGAACATGGCACATGATGGTGGTGGTGACACTCCCAGTGCTGCTGTCCCCAGGTTGAGGATGGGGACACCCTGGGGTGGTGCCCATGCCCTAGCATAGCTTGAGGACGCTCTGGGATAATATCTGTGCCCCCAACACAGGATGGGGACATGCTGGGACTTGAGATCCCTGTCCTACAGCCACCACACCTCCCACCTCACGGTCCTCTCTCCAATGTCCCCCCTGCCTGGCCAGCTCTCACCTTGCAGGCAGCTCATCTCCATCCTCTCCAGCTCCTCCTGCAGAAGCTCTATTTTGGACTCCCTAGGTGGGAAGAAGGAGAAACAGAGCCTCATTACCTTGGTGACTTCTGTGTCACCATCACGATGGCAGCCCCCTCTCTGCACCCTCCTCTGGGCAGAAGAGGAGGAGCTGGGATGAGGGGCCCAAAAACTACAGGGAAGCCATCAAGATGCATCCTGCCCCCCTCCTGGAGGCCAGCAGCCCACTCTGGGGACCTCTGCAGGATGGGTCCCAGCAGCCCCCAAGGGTGCCATCCCTCCCTCCCAACCATCTCTTACCTGTCTGGGGTGGAGGTGAGCTGGTGACGGGGTTCCTCCTGGGGAAGAACCAGCCAAGGTCCCCCAGCACCATGACGGGTGGCCACTACCAGCAACTGCCCTGCAGGGAAGCGAGAAGGTAGGAGAGGGCAGAGCACCCCTAGAGTGGTGTGTCCCCAACCAGGTCCCCCCAAGACCTGTCCCCACCTGCCACAGCAAGGGCCAGGAGAGTGGAGAGTGCCGGGATGTTGAGGAACTCGCCAAGGACGCTGAAGGTGAGGAGGAGGAGGATGGCACGGGGTGGTGTAGGCACCAGTAGCGCAACCAGCAGCACAAGGTAGGAGCCATGAAGGATGCAGGTGGAGATGGCACTCGGACTCTGACCTGTGGGACAGGGAGCAAGAGCCTTCTGTTGGCACCCACCAGCACCCACCTGCCCTCCAGAACCCATTCCCAGCTCACCAGCTGGGTCAAGGACAGCATGAAGTTGCTCCAGACGGTTCTCCAGGAGGTTCCGTGCACCCTCCACAGCTACCAACATCAGCCCCAGGCTCTGGTTGACCTGCCGCAGGTTCTCCATCACCTCTTCCATCTGGCACTGCTGAGCCAGGAGAAGGACTAGGTCACTCTCTGCACATGGAGGAGATGGATATGGTGTTGGGATGAGCCATGGAAGCTGCACCAAGGGGTGTCCTGGTGCAAAAAGAGCCAGGAATGGTGCTTCCTGCATTCCCACCTAGTTGGGAATAGACATCCCGAGCTCTTTCCTGCATGTGATGGAGGTCAGACAGGACAACCTGGTGCCCTTCCTGGAGCCCTGCAGCCCCACAGCTGCTTACGTTCCCTGTAAGGAGGGACAGAAGTTCGGGTCCAACCCCAAGGTGGGACATGGGGATGTAGCAGCATCCCAGCTGGTGGCTCTTACCCATCCACCGGGCGATGTCCTCCATGAGCTGGGCCACCTGGTGTTGCCTGCTGGTGATGAGGCTCTTCAGTCCTGGCTGCAGCCACTTGTCCAGCTGCTCCCACAGCTTCTCCTGCCCCTCCTGGAGTGAATATTGGGGTGGTGGCCCCACAGCCCTCTATAAACCATCACCCCATGGTGATGCCCACCACCACGCACCAATTAGATGCTGGCTCTTCTCATGAGCATCCCAAAACAAGCCCCCAGTGTTTAATCTCCATCCCACGGTGATGGGGAAGGAGACTTTGGAAAGGAGCAAGGTTGGGGATAGGAAGGGGATCAGGAGCAGAACTCTCCATCTACCATTGAGGAAATGAACTAAACAGGGCTGGTTTTACCCCAAAACGTGGATGAGCAGAAGTGGTTGGGTGCAGCTTGGGCTCTGCAGCTGCAAAGTTTGGGATTTCTGGGGGGCAATAGGGCATGGACCTCTCGGAGCAGAGGCAGAGGAGCCCATGGAGATGCTCCAAGGGCTGGAGGACAAGCTGAGAGTTGGGGGGGTTCAGCCTGGAGAAGAAAGACTCCAGGGAGACCTCAGAGCCCCTTCCAGTCCTTCTCTGGGGGGGTCCCCACCTCTTCCAGGGGGGTGCTGAGTCCCAGCCACCCAAAAAACCTGGCAGTGGCACAGAGGAGCAGCAGAACCACCCAGCAGCTCCGGGACACCATGATGGTGGTGTGTGCAGGGGTGTCCTGTGAGGAGAGACACGGTGTTGGGGGGAGCACCCTAAGGTCAAAAGCAGCCCCCCCTAGTCCAGGAACAGGTTTGGGGGGACACCCTCCAAATACACCCAGGGGGAGCAGGAGGGCTTGGCCATAACCCTAGGGTGGTGGGGAGGGCTGGGGACAGTCCCCTCTGTCACCCCCTTCCCTTTCCCCCCCAGTGGGGGGACCAGGAACAGGTTTGGGGGCCCATTGAGGAGACACCCCCCCCATCCCCAACAAACCCTGGGGTACCAGGGGCCTTGGCCATAACCCTAGGGTGGTGGGGAGGGATGGGGACCGTGTTGTCCCATGTCCCACCCCCCTCCCCTTTGGGGGGTGGGACACCAGGACCAGGTTTGGGGTCCTCTCCACCCCCTTCCCATTGAGGAGACACCCCCCAACACACCCTGGGGTACCAGGGACCTTGGCCACAGCCCCAGGGCGATGGGGAGGGATGGGGACAGTGTCATTTGTGTCTCCCCCCACCTCTTCCCCCCTGGAGGGGGGGTGAAGACCAGGTTTGGGGTCCTCTCCACCCCCCTCCCATTGAGAAGACACCCCCCCCAACACACCCTGGGGTACCAGGAGCCTTGGCCACAGCCCCAGGGCAATGGGGAGGGCTGGGGACAGTATCATTTGTGTCCTCCCCCACCCCTTCTCCCCTGGAGGAGGACAAGGACCAGGTTTGGGGGCCCCTCCACCCCCCTCCCATTGAGGGGACACCCCTGGGGTACCAGGGGCCTTGGCCACAGCCCCAGGGCGGTGGGAAGGGCTGGGGACCATGTTGTCCCATGTGTCCCCCCCGATCCTTCCCCCGGGGGGGGGTCATTACCCAACGCGTAGATCGCAGCAGCGCTGCCCCCCCCTTCACCGCCGTGGCCCCCACGCACCTGCGCAGAAACCCGCCCTTTCCCCAAGCCCCGCCCCTTATAGCCAAGCGCCGCCAATGAGCGTCGGGGGGTGTGTCGAGGACGGACCAATGGGGATCTGTTGTGCGGGAAGGGGGTGTGTCTCGGGAAGGGGGCGTGTCCCGGAAGGGAGCGCGGCGGGATGGAGGCGGCGGAGCTGCGGGTGGGCTTCGTGGGCGCCGGGCGGATGGCGGGCGGCCTGGCCCGGGG